AGTCTATAATAGCAATACCGCCTAGGCTTATACACCGCTTCACAGTGTTTTTACAGCCCTCTCTAAGCAGTTTACAGAGTCAGCCTATTGCCCCCAACAATCTGGGTCCTCATTTTACCCACCTCGGAAGGATGGACGGCTGAGTCAACCTTGAGCCTGGTGAGATTTGATCTGCCAAATGCAGGTAGCCGATAGTCAGCAGAATTAGCCTGCAGTACTGTATTCTAACCACTGCACCATCATGGAATTGTAACCAATACTACAATCCCCCCCCCCCTTTTATGAAAAGAAAACAAAGGAATTGACAAAGAACTGAAATGCCTTTCATGCTAAACGATGTCCTATTGTTAAATAATCCTATCTAATTCTGCAGACATTACGAAAGCCTTCCTTCTTGATTCTACCACAGGGTCAGCACTCATAAAGTGTGTTTCGTGACATTTCTCGAAAGTACCCGATAAAATGCTAAGATTTGTTCGGAAAAGCATCATAATTTTTGAAATCTAAAATAATTCTACGACAGGGTCAACACTGATAAAGCTTGTGTTGTGTCATTTCTCTCAAGTACCCGGTAAGATGTTAAGGTTTGTTTAGAATAACTTCATAATTTTAAAAATCTAAAATAATGTTATCTAAATCAAAGATGATTTGGGGATATTTTACCTTCAAAGATGCTATCTGGCCTTGCAAAGTACACGTATTCAAAAATGCAGAATGCTGCTGGATCTCCTTTAGGCCTCGGTACAACATCCAAAGTTTGGACATCATATCTGGATATTTTCACAATCTCTCCAGGCATGACTTCCCGATAGTATCTTTAAAATATAGTTGCATGTGTTAAACATCCCAACTGCTTTGCTTAGAAACACTGGTATTTGATTACAGAGAAATATAATTTTCAGATTGGAAAAACAACAACATGTTTTTTCTAAAGAGCAAAGGTATCTACAGAAATCTATATTTATTCTTTATTTTGTCAGATGCTTTTGATTATTATTCTGCACATATTACTTATTCAACTTATACCTCCTTATAACGGGAAGGCAGTTTGTTTTTAAATTATCTTCTCAAGTTCTAAAAGAATTTACTTCTTCCTTGAAATTGAAAAAAAATGGGGCGAGTTAAAAAGAAAAAAAAATCAAATTTTCTTTTGAGCATGCAAATGAAGCAATTTCAAGTACAAATAAAATATTTTCTTATTCTATATGCATAAGCAAAAGCATATTTAGAGCTTGATAGTTTTTTCATGATTAGTTTTCACAGATGAATTATTTCTTTTTTTATTTCTTTTTTATTTTTTATTAACAAACATGTAAAATACACACACACAAAACCTAGGCGTACACCACATTTACACAATACAATACGAACAGGAGCTTCCTNGAAAAAATGAAGCTGAAACAGGATATTTGCTGCAAGGAGGCAAATTCCTGGGAGGCAGAGGCCAAAGGGTGGGGGCCGGGGCTACATTCAGTGTACCCAAATTTTCACTTTCTTTTTGGGGGGGAAAGTGTGTCGTCTACTCCAAAAAATATGGTATAAATTATCTATTCAAAATTAAGCAATTGATTTCGATTGGCCTTGTTCTAATCTCAATAAATGAGAAGAATATTGAAGTTCAATATGTCTAGAAAATTTAACCCTTCATTTCAAAAGAGAGCTAAAAAGACACAGGTGACAGGCAGAGAGCATTGCTCCACTAATTTTCAAAAAAAATTCTTCAATGCTTTACTCTAATAACCACCAACACAACTTATTAATTATAGCTATAATAATCTCTGCTGTAATAACTCAGTTCAAGATTAAACCTGGCTGCCCGAAGTCTGAAACTTTTGCTTGGATGAAAAATAAAAATATTTTTACCTATGTAGCCTGCTAGGTCTTTAAATTCAGGCCTGTTTGCAATAAGTTCTTCTTTTGTTGGAATGTTTATTCCCATGTAACACGGAAACTTTATTGGAGGTGAAGCCACACGGATGTGCACCTGTGAGAGAAAACACTATTATGATACTGGCAGTGTTTTAATTATATCATAATTTGCAACAGGCGGCTTGAGTCAACTTTAGATCCTACAAGGATAAGGGTAAGAACAGAAGACACTGTTGAAGAATTGACTGGGTTTGTCTTAGTAGCAAGAACAGTAGTAGTTAGAAGCAGAAGAGCATTGAAAGAGAAACAGTTAGTGATGAAACATCTCTTCTCCTTCGTCTCCCTCTACTCTGATATGCACACTTACCTCTTTAGCACCAGATTCTCTCAATAGTTTAATTATAGGGGAAATAGTGTTGCCTCGCACAATCGAATCATCAATAAGGACAACTCGCTTTCCCCTGAAGTTGTCTGACAAGACTCCAAATTTTTTGGCCACTCCCAGCTGTCTTAACCTCATGTTTGGCTGAATGAAAGTTCTTCCTACATATCTGTTTTTGCAAAGCACTTCAACGTACGGTAGGCCACACTGAAAACAAGCAAGACACAAAGATCAAAGTACATTTTTTTTTAGTGCAGTGATTAAAACCATTTCCACATGAAATACAATTGGTTTGCAATGAACTGACTTTAATTCATCCCTTCGAACTGGCACAAAGGAAAGACCAAGTGCTCAAAATCTGCATTAGTACATTTTTCCCCTATTTATTTTTGGGTGACACCATTTATTCATTTGGTATTCTAATTCAGAGTAAAGGTAATAGGCATCCGAAGTATTTTTTTAAAAATCATTCATGTTTTCCCGATGTTTTGTTTTCTATTGGGCTCAATTATAAACAATAATTTTTTGAAAAAAGTACAATTAAAAACGTACCTTGTGTGCATAGCCGAGGGCTGCAGGAGTTGCAGATTCTGGAACTGTGCTAACCAAATCTGCTTCCACTGGGGCCTCAATAGCAAGCTGTTGACCGCATCTCCTTCTTACAGAATATACCATCTGGCCTATGTGAAGAATGAAAACGTGTGTGTTTTTGTGCTGAATTGGCCATAAGTCTCTCTCCTGATTTTAAAATTACACATCTAATAGAGGCGCCACTTTAATTTAACTTTCTGAGAAGCGTCTAAGTTTCAACTATGAAGGTCAGGTCTCATAAACACTTGACCTAATACATTCGGTTAATTTTAATTTACATAGCAGCTTTCATAGTAGGCATCCAAGAGTCTATAATAGCAATACCGCCTAGGCTTATACACCGCTTCACAGTGNTAATGAATCCAGATGACCATGTAATGAATTTAGCACTCGGTGCAGATGGTAAACTTTTTACTCAGCATGCAAAAAGTGAAGTTATGGTTATATTGATTGTTACCAATATAACAAGACTAACAACATAGGGTAGCACTGTGTTAAGTTATAGGCTGCCTTCTAAGGGGAACCGAAACATTTCTTCTTTCTATACTAACAATAACAAACATGCTTAGATCAAAAGATACAGAGACTAAATCAGGAGGTAGTTGCCATTTCCAGTTGTATGGCTTCCCTCCCACCCCCAAATTTTGACTATGAGGCCCTGCATTTCTGGGAAACAACACAGAGAGTTTTGGGAAACTTTAACAAAAGAAAGGAGTCTTCCATTTTTCAGAGAACAGGAAACCGTAAGCAACTCAACTCGAGCTGCCCAGATACACTCAACACATCAGCTGGCTCACTAGAGGCAACAGCATATTTGATCACTGCTACACCACATTAAAAGGTGCGTACCGCTCTCTCCCAAGAGCGGCTGTCTCTCTGATCATTGCATGATCCACCTCCCTCCCTCCCTCCAGGCAGAAACTTAAAACTGCAAAGCCTATGTTCAAAACAGCGAAGTCTCGCATTGAGGAAGCAAAGTTAGAACTTCAGGCTTGCTTTAAGTATGCAGACTGAAGTGTTTCTGAAACTGTTTTAGAGGGTTCGGATAAATTCACTGATACTGTGCCATACGACTTAGCTACTGTATGGACCCCTGTGTGCCTACCAAGAGCTTGCATATACAATATACCACTCTATAAAGCCCTAGTAAGACCACACCTAGAGTACTGCATCCAGTTTTGGTCACCGCACCATAAAAAAGATGTTGAGACTCTGGAGAAAGTGCAGAGAAGAGCAACTAACAGGGTTAGGGGACTGGAGACTAAAACATATGAAGAATGGTTGCAGGAACCGGGCATGGCTAGTCTAGTGAAGAGAAGGATCAGGGGAGACAGGATAGCAGTGTTCCACTATTTGAGTGGCTGCCACGGAGAGGAGGGGGGGCAAGCTATTTTCCAAAGCACCTG